TCATTCATAAAATGGGATCAACTTACAAATTGTATAAATATACTCGAGAGTAAATATATATATATATATACACACAAAGTCCTTGAGATATACGATTTTACGAGAGGCTTTAAAAATGTATATAAAAAAAAGAGAAGAAATGAAAAGAAATGACGGCGGAAAGGAGATGTGATAGGGAGAGACAGAAATCAAAATGAAAGAACGAAACTTATACTCTTGGACATTGGCGCATTATTTGTCAGCTTATGGGAGTGGAAGGTATAAAGGGGCGAATTATAAGAATTTACGATATCTCACTTTCACCAAGGCTCACATCTCTCGATGCTGCGCGCGTAAAACTTAGCAGCACCTACCGCACTGGTGATCGCGCGCATCCAAGTGTGTGCGTTCTCTGCGTCCCATGCAACACGTTTTTTACATTCCACCTACTATTTAGTGCCAGGCCAGCGTCATTAACAAATTATTCGTGGAAAAAAATTATTCTCGGAACAACATTCTATACCCACATAGTCTCACTCTACACCACCGTTAATGGGATTCCTTTTTAAAAACAGAGCGACGGCCTTGCCTTATGGCGCCTAAATTATATTGAAGCAACTCTGGTTATTATGTACTTGGGTTACCATCTTCTTATATTTATGTACATTATATCTTAAAGTTGAATTTTTCATTTATATTTCAGTACATAAAAAACTGAACAAGTTATTCTTTTGGATTTTATATACTGGAGAAGATAGATTTCAACTTCCAGTGGGATTCACGAACAGTTGCAAACTTCTCGAGTTGAAAAGTAACCTTTTGGTCGAAGATTAGCATCAAAAACTATTGTTTCGGATTCTTTTTTCTCCTAGGGACTTAAAAAATTATTAAGGTACTTTCCTGCTTAAAGCCTTTGAAGAAATTGTTCGATTTTTTTCAATTTTGTGAAAACAAAATGTTTTTCGACGCTAACTTCAGGGGTCTTAATGTTTATGTCCCTAAAGTTAGCGTCGACGCTCGCCGAAAACTATTGTTTCGAATTTTTCCCCTAGGGACTTAAAAATTTATCAAATTAATTTTTTTAGTAATAAATTGTCGGATGATTTTAGATCGAAGTAATTTTCAAGAATTGTTTAATTATTGACAGAATTTGAACGAAAATTTGTATAATCAGTATAAAGGAATAGTAGTACTCTTTTATGTTATAGGGTAATTATTTCTCAATTATTTTACATTTGAAGCTCCGGATCCTGAAAGGGCACTTTTACCATTTAAAATCAATGCTGAAAGTGCCCTTTTAAGATCCGGAGCCTCATTTATGAGTATTTTATAAGTTTGAATTGCACAGGTTGTATACCTACCTATACTTATTGCTTTATTTTAGAATAAATTTATCGAATTATATGAGTTGTGCAAAAAAGGAATGAATTCGATTCACTGAATATTGAATGTCGACAAGGATAGTAACCGCAGTTGGGGGTGAAACGTTCAATTTTTGGGATTTAATCCGGTACAAAATGCGAACTCCCTCTGACGGCGCCCTGAGGTGATATAGTATATCTCTCAGTGGGTGACCTCCCGCGCCGATATTTTCCAATATGCACCTCCTTCTCGTCCTGTGGACCAGTGCAATTCAAAACTTATAAAATACTCATATACAATACAAAAAGTAAATTTGCAAAAAGTTATTATCGATTCTCAATAATGAAATTGTCAAATTATTTTCTTTTTAAAGAAAGATCAAAATGATTTGAGCAAATTTTCTTCTTCTTCTTCTACTTCTTGTTTCTTAAATGGATTCAGGTCAACTGCAGGAACAACAAATTTGCTTTAACACAGTATTTAATACAAAAAATGTATCAAACGAGTTGCGTTTACAATTTTCATAAATAGATGAACTTCAAAAGGTTTTAATTTGAAATTTTGTAAAATTTCAATATTAAATATATTATAATTAAATAATAAAAATTTCACAGGAATTTTCTATATTACACTCGAACTCCGTTTTAGTGAACTGTCAGGGGGAGTCGTTCGTTAAGGCGAACAATACCTTAACAATACCTTTAATGAGGTAAGACATAAAGAAAAGCGTAAATCACAACCCAAAAATTTCGCTAAAGCGGTGTCCGCTAAACCGGCGTTCCAGTGTATTAACAAATTTTTTTTATAAATTTCTTTGCAATAATTCAATTATTTTCATATATAATCAAATTTTTTTACAAACATTCAATTATTTTCATAAATAATAATCAAATTCTTTATAGGTTTTCAATCATTTTTATAAATAACAAAACTTATCGCAGAATTTCAATTATTTTTAATACAACTTCGATGGAATTTCTCAAAAAAATGTAATTATTCTTAAAAATTTTATTAAATTTCACCAAAGAAATTCAAATATTTTAAAAAGCTTTCATATAATTCATTTATTAGAATCTAAGTATTATTGTTAATACATTTTTAATTAAATTACTAGAAAGAATTAAATTATTTTCAAAAATTTTAATGAAATTCTTTTTAACAATTCAATTTTTTTCAAAATAATTTAAATAAAATTCTTTGTATAGATATTTAATGAATTTCAATAGTTTATTAAAATTCAATTATTTTCAATATCTATACTATTTCAATAAAATTTCACAAAAGAATTGAATTATTTAAAAAGAAATATTAAAATTCGTCTTAAGAATTCAATTATTTTTAAAAGTAATAAAATTTTTCGAAGAAATTTAATTATAGTCAAAAGTTTAAAAAAAAGTCTCTTCAAAATTTCAATTATCTTTATAAATAATAAAATTTTTCTCCAAAAATCAATTATTTTCAAAAACTTTTCTCAATCCAATAAAATTTTTTTTACAGATATTCAATTATTTTTAATACAATTTTAATCTAATTTCTCGAAAAATAAAATTATTCTTAAAAATTTTATTGAAATTCGACAAAAGAATTTCAATTACCTATTTAAAAATTTGTTGACAAAATTCTTTATGAGAGTTCAATTTTAAAAAACATTCAATTCTTAAATAAATTATTTATTTTTGTATTTAAATAATTGAATTCTCGTAGAATTTTCTAATAAAAATTGATTTAAATATGAATTTCAGTTAAAATTTTAGATAATAATAATTGAATATTAAACTTTCTAAATTTGAATTAGTAAAAATGTTTTCTAATTTGAATTATTTACTGACTTTTTGCTTTTGAATTAGCAGATTTTACTAATAAATAGTCGTTTTTACCAGTTTAATAGTAAAATTTACTAATTAAAAAGTAAAAAGTCTAATTCCAATTAGTAAATATTTTTACTAATTCAAATTTATAGAGAAAGTATTATAGCGTCAATTTTTAGAAATAATTGAATTTTGAAAAGGTTTCAAATTTTAATCTTTGAAAGTTTGAATTTTTTATACTTTTAGCTGAAAATTGTGTAGATTTAATTTTTTTGAAAAAGTTAAAGGAACATTTTTGAAATTATTTGAAGTTTTTATATTCTAATATATATTTTATTGAAGAATTTCCGAATAATCCATAAAATTTCATAAAATTGAATTGTAAATAAAAGGATTTGAAAATTTTTAAAGAAATTTTTCAAAAATTATTAAAAATAATTGATTTAAAGAAGAGTTTTACGCGGAGAAAAATATAAAGTAATTTTTACTATACTTTTATAGTAAAAAATTTCTGGTAAAGCATTTCTGGTAATTTTTACTACTTTTGGAGTAAATTTTGCTACGTTCGAAGTAAATTTTATTGATTTTTACAAATATGTACTTTTCGAAAGTAGCAAAATTTACTCCAAAAATAGTCAAAATTGCCAGAAATGCTTTAATGGAAATTTTTTACTATAAAAGTAGTAATAAAAGTTACTTTATATTTTTCTCCGTGCAGTTAAAAATTTAGAAAATAATTGAATTGGAAAATAATGAAAATAATTTTTATGTGTAGTTAGAGTAACAATATTTTTATAATATAAAATAATGATTTTATCAGTCGGTCATCTTTAATTATTATAAAACATGAATTGCTTCGAGTCGAAGACTCGGAGTTATCGATTTCTTTATGTTTTATAACAATTTTTTATAAGTTGTTAATTTCAAAAAGGTTTCAATTTGAAGTTTCTGGAAATCTTAATTCTTATGGGAAAATAATAATGATTAAATATTTATATAAAAAATAAGTAATAGAACATTTTTCTGAGTAATAATTTTTAAACTGAATAAGAATATTCTTTAGAGTCAAGAAAAAGTAAGAATTGCATTGTGCATGCAACTTCTGAAAATTTTGCAAGACTTCCGCGTTTAGTGAAATCATAAATCAAAAGTACGTATATACTGAGATTTGTTGTTTTTTTTTTTTTTTTTTGAAGTTTTGATAGGGATACGGGGCTGGCACCTCTCGCAGTCGGTTGGCGTCGGATGAGTAACGCGAGAGAATACTATCCGTTACGAGTGACGACGTTTTTACGAGCGACTCGGATTGTAATTCAAATATTTATCCGTCGCGGCTCGTTTGGGACTAGTTTACATCTTACGGGAATTGGAGTGGGGTGAGGGAATGAGGGTTGCAGGAAGGGATTGCCACACGCTGCGTCAGACCCGTACGTCATCCCCGGGGTGCGAAATCCCGAAGAAGTCCCAGCGTCTTCTTCTCTCTTTCTTTCCTTCGCGAAATTGGTAATTGGGATTTTCGATGATCGATCTCTTCCCCTTTGCAAAGAAAAAGAAAAATAAATTGTTTTTTATTTACTTCCTTTTCTATGCTTTATATATATTATGCTATATTTATGCGTATATGTATTACGGAAGGTGAATGTCTGCCTACCAAAATTTATAAGTGACAATTCTTCGAATCTTCTCTCGATGTATAATTAATATGCGATGAAATTAATTACCCTGTCGGAAGAGTTGTGTACTGGGAAATTGGATATTAAAAATGTTAGTGGATATAGTTGTATATTGAATTGGACTCAATTTATTTGATATTATTTTTATTATAAATTTTGTTGTATTTTAATTTTACAGGGAGGCGACCGATCTAGGAGGACTATTCTAGGAAGATCAATCAAGTTTGACCAATCGGGATTTTGATCCGGGTCAAGTTTAACCGATCGGTAGGATTTCCGGATTTTCTTGTGTCTGGACTATTTGGGCACAAGTTCTGGACCATTTGGACTTCATGGACAATCAATTTAGGTGGACCATTCTAGAAGGATAATATCCGGAGGGACTATACAAGGAACATCAAATCAATGAATTGGTAAGTGGTTCAAATATTTTTAAGTATTTTGATTATACGGACCACGATACGGACCTTAGAAGTGTTAATGTATCTCGGACAGTAAATCTCTTTTACTTGCGATCATCAAAGTTAAGCAATCTTATAATACTAAACTTAGTAATTTGATGGATGATCGCCATTCGACTTTTGCTATATAGGTTCGTTTGGTATAAAGTTTATTATAAAATGAAAGTAAAATTTAAATGATTATAAAATATAAAAAAAACAAACGAGTACAAAATAAAAAAAGTACTTTTTGTAGAAATTTTACAACATTACAGAGCTCGAACTATAGGTCCGTAAATCCCGTAAAAGTCCGTAAATTTGCTTCAAGTCCGTAACAGTAAGTTTTTTTTAGAAAACGTCCGTAAAGTCCGTAGTTTGCTTGAAAAAGGATAAAAAGTTCATAAATTGTACGATTTAATTTGAAGAATTTTAGAGAAATTAGAAATGATTGCAGACATTCAATTATTTTTAAAAGTAAGAAAATTCTTCGCAAAAATATAATTATGTTCAAAAATTAAAAAAAATTCTCGTCAAAATTGCAATTATCTTTAGAAATAATAAAATTCTTCTGCGAAATTCAATTATTTTCAAAAATTTTACGCAGGCATTCAATTATTCAATCTTTAATAAATTTCTTCAAAATAATTCCATTATTTTCATAAGTAATAAAATTTTCACAGGAATTCAATTATTTAAAATACAAAATTACATAAAAATTTTCGAAAAATATCAATTATTTAAACAGATTTTTATAAAATTCGTCGCAAGAAATCAATTTTTTTTTTAATTTAACAAAGTTCTTTTCAAGAATTCAATTATTTTTATAAATAATAAAATTCTTCACAGAAATTCAATTATTTTTATAAACTTGAATAAAATTCGTTGCAAGAATCCAATTATTTATAAAAATAATAAAAATTTTCACAGGAATTCAATTATTTACAAATTTTTTATAAACACAATAATTCAATTATTTTCATAAATAAATACATAAATTTTTACAGGGATTCAATTATTTTCGTACATAATAAAATTCTTTTTAGGAACTCAATTATTTTCATAAATAATGAAACTCATTGCAGAATTTTAATTATTTTAAAAAAATTTTTAATCAAATTCCTTGAAAAATGTAATTATTTTTAAAAATTTAACTAAAATTCGTCAAAAGAATTCAATTATTTAAATATTTGTTGCTAAAATTCTTTATGAGAATTGAATTTTCAGAAACATTGAATTATTCAATAAATTATATATTTTTGTATTTAAATAATTAAATTCTCGTAGAATTTTCTAATAAAAAGTGATTAAAAATGAATTTCAGTTAAAAACAAATAAATTTGAAAATTCTTAAAAAACTTTTTGAAAAATTATTAAAAATGATGGATTTAAAGAAAAATTTTAATTAAAAACACTAAAAAAAATTTTAATTTTGGAGAGCTTACAAATTATTGCAGAAATTCAATTGTTTTCAAGAGTATTAAAATCCATCACAAAAATTTAATTATGTTCAAAAATAATAAAATTCTTCTTAAGAATTCAATTTTTTTCATAAATCATAAAATATCGCTGAATTTCAATTGTTTATAAAACAATTTTAATTGAATTTCTCGAAAAATATAATTATTCTTAAAAATTTTATTAAAATTCGTTGATAGAATTCAATTATTTGAAAATTTGTTGATAACGATTCTTTATTAGAATTGAATTTTAAGAAAAATTGATTATTTATTTTTGTCTTTAAATAATTGAACTCTAGTAGAATTTTCCAATTAAAAATGATTTTGAAATGAATTTCATTAAAAAATTTTTGCATAATAATTGAATACTAAAAGCAATATAGAGTAATAAAAATTTCACAGGAATTGGATTATTTATAGAAATTTTTTATAAACGCAATAATACAATTATTTTCATAAATAAATAAATTTTTACAGGGATTCAATTATTTTCGTACATAATAAAATTCTTTTTAGTAAGTCAATTATTTTCATAAATAATAAAACTCATTACAGAATTTCAATTATTTTTAATAAAATTTGAATCCAATTTCTTGAAAAATGTAATTATTCTTAAAATTTTAACTAAAATTCGTCAAAAGAATTCAATTATTTAAAAATTTATTGATAGAATTCTTTATGAGAATTGAATTTTAAGAAACATTGAATTATTCAATAAATTATTTATTTTTGTATTTAAATAATTGAATTCCATTAGAATTTTCTGATAAAAATTGATTTAAGAATGAATTTCATTAAAAGTTTGTTGCATAATAATTGAATATCAAAAGCAATATAGCGTAAATTTTTATAAATAATTTTTTGAAATTAATTTTTTTGAAAAAGTTGAATTGAATTTTTTTATATTATTTGAAGTTTTTAATTTTTAATATATATTTAATTGAAGAATTATTGAATAATTAAAATTCGTAAAATTAAATATTGTAAAAATTTGACAGATGCAATAACGATCGTGGCACTCGGACTGATCCCCCACTACAACGAGATAATGAAAAAATTATTTGAAAAATAAATGTTCTCGAAAGAGAAGAAAAAAATTACATAAAGCACAAGTTTTCTCAATATTATTTTCCTTAATTTTCACCAGTTTTTGCTTGGATTAGTTCGAGCGCCTCGTCCGTTATTGCATCTGTTCCTTCAATAATTGTCAGAGAACTTTTTCGAAAATTAATTGATTTTAAAAAGAATTTTAGTTAAAAATTCTTGAAAATAATAATTGAATTGAAGTGATGAAAATAATTTTGAAGAATAAGTACAATATTCTTATAATATAAAATGATGATTTTATAAATTTACCATCTTGAATTATTATAAAACATGAAGAAATCGATCTATGTCTTCATGTTTTATAATTATTAAGAAATTTAATTTTTAGTTTGAAGTAAAATGTTTTTTTATTTTACTCGAACTGGTTATATTTTTTTCAGTAATTGGTTCGTAAATGGTTCGCAATTTTCATTTTTGGTGCATATTTTTAATATAGTATTTTTACATAGTCCGTATTTTTAAATATACTTTTACTAGTTTGAGCCCTGACATTATAACCACCAGGCACAGGAAACACATTAAGTGTGTTACAGTATAGAGCAAAAACTGTATTCTTTTTGTGATAAAGTTGATTTATAAACATGCGTCTTCAAACACATCAGTCATAAGATTATAACTTTACGTACACGGAATTAACAGATCAATATAATTTTTTTTTTGTTTCGAGAGGAATGATAAATGTCCTTGTGTTTATGAAACATTTTGCATATTCGAGTAATGTTATTTCGTTTATTATAGTAAGTATAAGTATAGTGCGTGTAGTGAAATCGTAATATAAGAGGAGCAAAGATATTCTTCCTTTATATGTATACAAAGTTTGAAATGCAATTATGCATATGAGCTTACAAACATCATGAGATGTATAGTGTGGTAAAAAGTGAAATACAAACGTTTTTTTTTATAGTAAGCGCACTTTATGTGCGTATATTTAGAGTATATATCATGGATCCTCCATATAATCGCGCGCGGCGTTTACTTACATACCCGTGAGTTTATACTAAATAAAACTTTCCGCATAAAAGCGATGAGGCACCTGCGGCAGCTTTTTACATCGGCTCGCGTACCTCGTTATTTCTGTAAATTGCCATTAATTAGCCCGACTGTCGCTTTCGCCGCTTCTGCCGATGAGCCGCGCGCAGACACTGTGTGTAGGATTTCGATCGTTTTACTCTGCGACGATCGTTACAGCGATAACGTGATACATAAGACATTCGTTTTTTGGGCCCTTGAAATAATAAGACTTTTGCTCTCTTTTTTCTTCTTGAGGAATTTATTAAATAGTTTTTAGGGAATAATTCTATATACACCTCTCTTATGTATGATTGTGTTCAACTTTATGTTGAGATGTATACATATAGAGTTGTATAAATTGTATCGGATTTACTACTTTCTTATTCACCCTTGCTTCCGTCTGCGAGGGCACATACCAGACTTTCTTTTTGCGAACATAACAATTATCGTATCTGAGATGCTCGCGCTCGTGCGATGCAATTCAGTCTATAGAACTATATATATATATATATAAAGTGTATGGGGAAAAGAACCGTACATTTATATCTAAGGGCCGTAAAGAAACAGCTAAATGTAAAGTCATAACAATTAAGATCGTATGAAATAATCATGATTCGCAGCTGAGCGAATTTTTATATGTCGCACATATTTTCACCATTCGGAAAGATAACTTTTTTATTCTTCTTTTTTTATAAAGGATTTTGAGTCTTGTATAAATTAATATTAAAATATGTTTTATTTTGGTATCGATTGTCATCCCTTTTTTTATAGACGGTATTGCAGTTAACCGCTTGAATGACATAATTAACAGTTGAATGACTCAATTGCAATATGTACACTAAAAAAAATGCCTAAACAATTTGAGCATCCATTATACAGGGCTCGGATTGTGCGACTTTTTCGACTTTTTTTCGACTTTTCTAAGGAAATGTGACTTTTTTCGACTTTTTGTGAAAAAATGCGACTAATCGACTTTTTCGAGATTTTTTTTAGTAAAATGCGACTGAAATTTAAAAAATTTTTTAAATTTAAAGGAAAAAGTTTGAGTAAAAAAATGTCTGGTTACATTTATTTACAAATTTCTTTCAAATTCTTCAAAAGATTAAAATTCAAACCTTTTTGAAATTAAACAACTTATAAATATTTGTTATAAAACATGAAGAAATCGATCACTCCGAGTCTTCGACTCGGAGCAATCGATGTCTTCATGTTTTATAATATTTCAAAATGACTGAGTGATAAAATCATTATTTTATAATTATATTATAAAACTTTGTTAAAAAAAGAAATTTTTTTATTATTTTTTATGAAAATAATTGAATTATTGGGAATAAATTTATAAAACATTAGTAAGTAAATGAATTTTGCAGAAGAATTTTGATATTTATAAAAATAATTGAAATTTTGAGAAGACTTTAAAAAAAAATTTTGAAAATAATTTAATTTCTGCCAAGAATTTTCTTACTTTTGAAAATAATTGAATTTTGCAAAGAATTTTATCAGAACTTTTGAAAATAATTAAATTTCCGGTATGAATTTTATTATTTATGAAGATAATTAAAATTTTGACAAGAAATTTAAAAAAAATTTGAAAATAATAGAATTTCTAGGATGAATTTTATTACTTATAAATTTATATCTTATAATATCTAATAATATCTAATTTATTATCTTAAGATAATTGAAATTTTAAAGATAAATTTAAGAAAAATTGAAAATAATTAAATTTCCAGTATGAATTTTATTATTTATGAAGATAATTAAAATTTTGACGAGAAATTTAAAAAAGAAATTGAAATTAATTGAACTTCTAGGATGAATTTAATTATTTATAAAGATAATTGAAATTTTGACAAGAATTTTATTAAAGTTTTTGCAAATAATTGAATTTCAGAGAAGAATTTTATTATTTATAAGGATAGTTGAAATTTTGAACAGATTTTTTTAAAAATGTTTAAAAGTAATTGAATTTTACAGAAGAATTATGACATTTATAAAAATAATTGAAATTTTGAGAAGAATTTAAAAAAAAATTTTTAAATAATTAAATTTCTGACAAGAATTTTCTTACTTTTGAAAATAATTGAATTTTGCAAAGAATTTTATCAGAACTTTTGAAAATAATTAAATTTCCATGATGAATTTTATTACCTATACATAAAGTTTTGACGAAAAATTAAAAAAAATGTTTAATATAATTGAATTTCTGTGAAGAATTTTATTACAATTTTTTTTAAATAATTGAATTCCGGAGAACAATTTTATTGAAATTTTTTTTAAATAATTGAATTTCTGAGAAGAATTTTATTATTTATAAAAATAATTGACATTTTAAAGAGAATTTTTTGAAAAAATGTTAAAAATACCTAATTAAAATTTTGCTATGAATTTTATTTAATTTTTTAAAAATTTTATTTCGAATTGTTCGATATTAATGTATTTGTTGGCGAGAAATGTGATTTTTTTGCAATTTTGTCAATTTCGTGTTTTCCTTTTGTCGTTTTTTCTAAGATTTCATGCGACTTTTTTCCGACTTTTTCGGAAATTTTATACGACTTTTCGTGACTTTTGTTGAAAATTTATGCGACTAAAGCGACTTTTTTTGAGTCTTAAAGACGATCCGAGCCCTGATTATAGCATTAATGTTACTTTAACTAGGAATCTTGATTGTATTGACAAATTTAGTGCTGTAGTAACCAGGATTCCTAGTTAAAGTAACCAAAATTCTTAGATGGATGACTCTCGTAACTAGGAATTTTTTTCAGTGTAGTTAAATGACGTGAATTGTTTTTTCAATATAAAAATGTCAATATAAAAATTGTTTTTTCTGATTTATTTAGGTTTCTTTGAAGAAAGTTTCTTTTGCGGAGCTACTCCTGAGAGGGACATCGCGGGTGCATAATTTAACAACTGCAGAGCGTATAGTTCAGAATGTAAGTTGAATAATATTTTTCCCCTTTCTTGTACTTTAAAACTAAAATACTATTGTAATTTATTATTCTGTTATTAATTTCTGACGCGTTCCGAACAAAAGTTACCTGAAAATTTGAGGTTATGTTTGTAATTTTTGAAATGAATATAAACAAAGGTAGATCAACTCTCAATATGAACTGGTTTATGAACTGGTTTTTTTTACTGGTTTAAGTCTTCATTAGATCCAAAATATTCCATAAAAAACTGATTTTAATTTTAAATTAAACACAGAAACTTTTAATTAAGCGAAAAATAACACAAACAAAACCTTAAATAATTTTCTTCTTAGGTACTTTTTCCGGTACCTACCTCAAAAACTTTTATTTAATTATTAACTCATAAAGAAATCGATAGAATTTTTGATACTTGAGACAAAATAAATGAAAAAGTACACTACTTTAGTGTCTAAACAACACAATACTGTAAAAAATTTAGGGAGTTGACGGTCACTGGAGTTGGGAGTGAAATTTTTCGAGTTAAAAATCAACTCCAAAAGGGAGTTAATTATTAAATTAACTCACTTTTGGAGTTGATTCTTCTTTTTACTGTGTAATAATGAGATCATGAGAAGAAATTAAGAGTGTTAAAATATGACACTCACAGGTGAAAATTTGTTGCGTGTAATTTTAACACCAAATTTAGTGCTAAAATAACACTTTTTTTGTGTTTTAGAAAATAATTAATTATTTTGTATTTTTTTTTCTTCATTTTTCAGAAAGTGACAAATTAGAAGGACAATCAGATGGACAGAGGATGTGCGTAGAAGAAAAGTGACGCCATTAGAAATGCATTGGAGCCAGGGACCTTCCAGGGTTCGATCAGGATGATCGCAACGAAATATTGAGTCTTATTTTTTATTTGATTTTTATTATATTTACCCTTTCCTGTTTGTTTTGTTAATTTTTGAAAAAACAGGGAAGGAGTCGTAACAACATAGTGACACCATTGACAAATACATTATTTTCTAGTACTTTTTTTAAAAGTAAGTAAATTAATATATTTGTCAATGTTTTAACTGTTTAGTTATTATGTGTATGTCTTTTGTATTTTTTGCTCAGTATTTAATATTTTGCAATTATAGGTTTTATTTCTTTTTATTTGAAGTAAATTTAAATTAATATAATTTATAAATTTCAATTCTTTTTTTACAGTAATAATTAAAATGATTAAATGCTTTAATTAGATTAAAGCATTAAAAAAAAGAAAAGAAAAGCATTAAATGCTTTTAATTAGAAATTTTCAACATTTTTCTAAATTAAAATTTTTAAACGATTTTCCCATTAATGTTTATGTTTAACTGTTGAACCAATTAATTTCAATTTAAAAATTAGATTCTTTTTGATTAAATTAAAAAATTTTGATGTTTGTGATTAAAATTCAATTAGATTTTCAATTTATTCAAGTTTATTTATTAACATTTTTTGGAAATAATTTTGTTAGGGCATGTTTATTGTCTTGTTATGTTGTGTGTGTATTGTTAATTTTAAGTCATTTTGAGCTCAGGTGGCGGATGCGTCCCGGGACGTATGGGAGCCTAACGTGCCCCTTTATCCCTAGAGTAGGTCAATTTGCATCTGGGCGGAATGTGAGAGAATCGTGGAGTGTTTGTAAGATTCAAAATTAGGTTTGAAGGAAATAAAAATGGGGTTAGGTAGAAATAGCTTTTTTTCGGTATGAAAGAGATAATTCTTTTTCGATTAGTCTTTGCGGTAGGTAGGGAAATCGGGTTTTTTGTGTGAGCGGCTGGAGTGTTATAGCCGCAAGGTACCAGTGGTACCTGATACTGCTGCTGGTATAAGGAGTGCCTGTGAATTTATACTTTTCTTGAATTTTATCTTTTATTTCTGTGTCACTATGTTGTTTGAAATTTTGCATAATTTATAAATTTTTCAATTGTTTTTGCATCTTTTCAATTGCATTACTATATGTATTGCATATTTTTTGCTATAAATAAATAAGTTTTATTGTAATAAACCTTATTTATCATGATAAGTACGTTTGTTTACTTATATTATTTTATGTATTTTTATAATACTTAGGTTATTTTTGCTTTATGCGAATCCACGTGAAAAATTCTCGGGACCTTTTTTACGTGGAAATTCCCTCCCCCTGAAAAAAAATGTACACTAAGGCAAAATATTAGTTGGAGATACAATTTTTCTCTGAATATTTTCATAGTAAAATTTTCTGCTGCTAATTTATTGGTAGGGTTTACAATTTTTATTAGTAAACCTATTTTATTAGTTGATTTAATTATTTTGTTTGTTGGCTCAACTATTTAATTAGTTACGTTACTAACTAAATGGTTAGGAGTAATTAACAAAATAGTAATAGTAACTAAAAAAAAAAATTCTCTTTTTGTCACATGATCAATTTATGTTAAACATATTTTTGTATGACAATTTAATAAATGTTTAGTAACATAATTTAATATAATGTTTAGTGTATTAAAAAAAATGAATATTTCCAATTACCCAATGGGAAATTTACAACTGGCATAGTACTGCGCCAGCACTGGCAGCACTGGCGGCAAGGCTGAGAGCCAGCACTGGCATGGCACTGGGATGATAACGCCGTCTGGCGCTGCCGAAGTACTGTCTGTCAGTGCTGCCAGACAGCGCTGGCGCAGCACTGGACCAGTGCTGGCTGAGAATATTGCCGCAATAAATTCCGTATTGTTATTAATTAGTCGCAAATTCATAATTATAAATAATTTAACAACAAAATGGTAAATAATATTAATAAATAGTTATTATTCATAAAATATTTCTCTTCTTAAAGAAATTGTATTAAAGATGGAGACTAACAATGGATATAGTAAATGAAGTAGAAAAAATTGTTTATAACATTTAAAAATTAAATAATAAACAATTACAGTAAGTGTGCATTAGATTTTCATATTTTAGTACCTAACGATTGGAATCTAGAAATATCGCAAACCTATGAAAATAAACAAAATTGCTGACGAGGGGAATCGAACCTACGACCTATGGACTAACAGACTAACGCTCTAACCACTATGCTAACGACACATGTGTACAGTAAAGTATTAATATCTCAGTATCATTCAGACAAACAATTATTGAGTCAAAGATGAGAAAAAAATAGGGATACGTTAGAAATAATAAATTGAAATAAAATAAATTAAACTAAATTTTTAATAATTAAATTAAATTACTTTACTTATTGCATTTAACATTTTACGTAATTTTTAGATTACGTGGTAATTTTTTAATAATTTTTTATTCATAGGAAGAAGTATAATAGTATTTTAATAGGAACCAAATTATTATTGAGATTAAAGTTTAAATTTTGTTTATAATTTTAATTTGTTTAAATAATTTATTATTTACAAAATTAGAGAATTGTGTTAAATTGTTATTATTAAATTTAATAAGAATAAAAAATGAACAACTGAAAAGTAAAATATTAATTTTTTTCAATAAATTTATATTTATAAACATTTATAAACTTTTTTTATAATTTTTTTCAAGTTTATGTCAAAAAAGCAATGTTGGCAGAGAGCGTTGTGAACAATTTTTCTATACTCAGCCAGCACTTGCCGCCGTGGCTTGTCCAAGCTTTGGCGAAACAAAAATTCTGTACTGCGCCAGCACTAATTGTCGAGGCTCGGCTAGACTACGCCGAACAATCGTCTGAGTACTAAGCCAGTGGTGAACATCGGCACTACACTGGCATTTCCCATTGGGTAAAAGTATTATTAAAAAAATTAATATTTCTAATTCAAAGTATTAATTTCTTTTATCAGAAGACTCGAATCGGCAGTTTAATCGAAAGTTATTATGGTCAGCTGCATATTTTCGTGTTTTAAAATCAAAAAGTAATTTATAATTTTTTTGATTTAAAAAAATGATTATGTGGATTTAGAATAACTTCACTCAGAGAAAAGATTAGTTGGTGTTATAATTTTTCGCAAGATAATTTTTAGTTAGTAAAAAGCTCACTGTTGATCATTTATCAGTCGTGATTACAGTTTTTATTATAAAACCGATTTTATTTATTTGACCATTTTGTTTGGTGGTCTGACTATTTAATTAGTAAAGTAAATGAAAAATATGTAAAGTTACTAACTAAGTGGTTACTATTTAAATTTAAGTTAGTAAAAATGTTTAATAATTTGAATCTGTGCTACTGACTTTTTGCTTTTGATTTTGTAAATTTTATTAATAAATTAGTAGAAATTACTATTTATTAGTAAAAATGTTTACGCATTCAAATTTAGAGAGTAGACTAACAATTAGTTATACTCTAGTTACTCCAGTTAGTTACTAACTAGCTAAACAGAAATGGTAACTAATAAAAGTTATAAGCGAGCTTTTTACTAACTAAGAAAGTACTTGACACAACTAATAATTTCTTTCAGTGTTGGTTCGACTGTCTGATTATTGTTTTTAATAAACTTTGTCTACGGTGAAAAAATAATTTGATAATTTTGAATTTCAAGTATAAAATTATTTTTTGCTGCACAAAGTTATGGAGCAAGTGATAATATTTTTTGATTATGTTCTCTATATATAGGTAATGGATCCAATCGAGAAGAAAGATGTCTAAATTTAGGATGTTTTGAGTTTCATCATCGCCTTGTGCACTTTAAAAGATGTAAGTTTTAGTTAAACTTGCCCCGATAGCACGTAATCTTGTAGCAATATTGCGACAACAGGGTTGACACACAACCTGAAAACCTAGAAATGTCAGGGAATTATGTAAATCTTGAAAAAACCTGGAAAAGTCAGGGAATTTTAATCGGAATCCTGGAAAATTATTGTTTTCTAAAGTTATTGTGCTAATTTTTGAAATCTAATTATATTTAAATATTTCAAAAATAATTGAATTTTAAAAGAGTTGCGTTTACAATTTTCATAAATAGATGAACTTCAAAAGGTTTTAATTTAATATTTTGTAAAATTTCAACATTGAATGAATTAATGAAATAATAAAAATTTTATAGGAATTCTAATATTTACAAATTTTTCATAAATTTCTTCGCAATAATCGAATTATTTTTATAAATAATCAAATTTTTTACAGACATTCAATTCGTCTCAAAAATTCAATTATTTTCAAAAATTTTAATAAAATTCTTAGCAGAATTTAAATTATTTTCAAAAACTTTTCTCAATTCAATGAAATTTTTTACAGAGATTCAATTATTTTTAATACAATTTTAATCTAATTTCCCGAAAAATGAAATTATTCTTAAAAATTTTATTGAAATTCGTCAAAAGAATTTTAATTATTTATTTAAAAATTTGTTGATAAAATTCTTTAAAATGAAAGTTTAATTTTAATGGACATTCAATTCTTTAATAAATTATTTATTTTTGTATTTCAATAATTGAATTCTCGTATAATTTCCTTGTAAAAATTGATTTAAATATGAATTTCAGTTAAAATTTTATATAATAATTGCGAATATTAAACTCTAAATTTGAATTAGTAAAAATGTTTTCAAAGTGGAATTAGTGACTGACTTTTTGCTTTTGAATTAGCAGACTTTACTAATAAATAGTAGTTTCTACTAATTTAATAGTAAAATTTACTAATTGAATTGTAAACAAAAGTATTTGGAAGTTTTTAATATGAAATTTTTTAAAAATTATTATAAATAATTAATTTAAAGAAGAATTTTAGTTTAAAATTCTGGAAAACAATAATTCAATTGAAGTGAGAGAATTAATTTTGCAGAAGTTTCAATAACAATATTCTTATAATATAAAATAATGATTTTATCAGTCGGTCATCTTTAATTATTATAAAACATGAAGATATCGATTGCTTCGAGTCGAAGACTCAGAGTGATCGATTTCTTCATGTTTTATAACAATTTTTTATAAATTGTTAATTGCAAAAAGGTTTATATTAGAAGTTTTTAGAAATCTTAATTCTTATGGAAAAATAATAATGATTAAATATTTACTTAAAAAAGAATTAATTGAAAATTTTTCAGAGTAATAATTTTTAAACTAAATCAAAATATTCTTTAGAGTCAAGAAAAAGTAAGAATTTTGTC